GAAGGTTAAAGAACAACCACTTCAGGCTAAAACCCAAAACCGTCCTAGATCACTTTCCCCCTCAGTACCTGCCAAATCCCAAAACAAATGTCTCTGTGTCCTACTTTGTTCCATGTAACAGTGCAAAACCTGAGCAGTTTCTGGTGTCACATTGATATGAACTGTGCAGTAACTGTAACCAACCCATGCTGCAACGGCTCTGTCCAGTTTCCAACATTTTAAGACAATCTCCTCTCTATAACCTGTGTTCAGTTTAATCCCAGTTGATCTAAATCAACTCAAGTTCCATCCCTGGACCCATCAGGGGGCCCAAACGTACACCAAACCTGCAGGGCCCGCAGCCAAATCCAGACCATCAAACCTCTTACCTTGTCTTTGGAGGCTCCCATGGTGCTGCAGTCTCCTCAGACCAGAGCAGATCCTTCACAGGAAGCTTTCAGGATACAGATGAGGACAAAAACAACCTGATTTAGCTTTCCCTGAGCACTTCTCACAGCATTATCCCCCCGATGGTTCCCCCTGTCCTCTTTCTGTCCTCTCTCTGTCTCGTCTCTGTCTCTCCAGGATCCCTCAGGTTCCCAGGCACTGACGGATTCTCTTCGTCCCTCTTTTTTCTTTTTTTGGTTCTCCTCGTCCTCTAGCTCTGCGTCTCAACAGGGTGAGAAATACCTGAACCACGATCCAGCATCAGCAGAGAAACAGCAGGACAGAGAGAAAGAGGGATGGGTGGACATCACGCCAGCAAACTCTAAACTTTAAGCCAAAAGGATTATTTTCACGTTAGTTTATAAGTGATTATATATATTTATATATATCAGTTTAATATCTGAAATGTTTGAAATGAAATCATCTGCATCCAAATGAAGCTACATGGATGCGTCAGATTGTTTTCCTTTGAATAAAAGCAGAAGTTCATTATAAAAAAATGCTTTATCTCAATTCTTTAAGAAATCCATTTAAAAAGAAATCCTTCCTTTCCAACCAGCTACCTTGCAATATGACAGAAACTCCATTATATCACAAATCTATGGCAAGATCCTGTTACAGAAAGGTTGTTTTATGAAAGACATTTTGAACACAGCACATACTGTACACACTGATCTGAACTACAGCTGCAACAATCAGTTGATCGGCAACTATTTTAATAATCCATTAACCTTTTATTTTCAAAGCAACAATGAGAACATTTGATGGTTTCGTCAAACCTGAGAACTTGCAGCTTTTGTCTTAACCAGGGCTGCACAAAGTGGGGCCTGTGGGCCAAA